CCAGGTGAATGTACCAGACATGTACCGTGGCTGCCTACATGAACGTTGAGGCTGGCTAGCGTCTTGGTGCGAGTGGACTGACCAATGTAATCTCCAAAGTGAAGAGGCAGGTTACGTCATAAGTAGCTCAGGTAAGAGTCCTGTGTTTCATATCATCGCTGACTTTCTGCAAGGATGAATCCGGGAAAAGGGGAGGGGCCAATCGGGGTCTTGACCAAAGAAGGAGCACAAATTGTTTTCATTTGAAAAAATGAAAGGATCTTATTGGTCTATTTAATTTCCCCCTCATTTGGAAAGTGGAAATGTAGCCAAACCCCTCGAACAACTTTATAAATTAAAAAAAAATTTGGCCCCAAGAATCAAGTTTGTGCCCCCTCTCCAAAAAAAATTGGGTCCTGCCTAGCTGGATCCACCCTTGGGTGCTTGTGGCCAGCTTTTAGGGCAACCCTGACCTAGGGATGGTTGTGTGCATTGTGTCAACCAAGTAAGATGATAGGGATGAGGTTAAACCCTTGTAACCAGGGCAAGCTAGTTGAATGCACCCACTGTACTGGAATTGGTCACATTTTCCTGGCCTAAAGTTCCTTTTCCTTCATGGTTCATTGCTGTTTCATGACAAATCACCTTTGATCAATGGTCCACATTTCCTGATACATGTCCAACATGTTCAAGGAGTAATTTTGGTTTCATAGTTTTAATAGTAAAACTCATGAAATGAAGCGTCTAATTGTAGACGTAAATACCTTTAGACTGACACAGCAGTTAAGGAAAAGGCTGCATCCGCATCTATTGTCTAGAGCTAGGTCTAGGTCTTCACTCCATTGGAAATGTGCAGCGAAGCGTAGACAATAGACCTAGCCGTAGCTCTGGAAGCCCGTTTCGGACACGGCCTACGTCTCCACTTTTAATAACCATGAGCAAGTGGCTGCCTTGTTCCTTGGGGTTTCATGATTTGCTCTGCAGCACTGCTCTACTCAAAGAAGATGGATTGGGGGCAACTGTGGCAATTGTCCATCAAACATTAGTTGGCCCTGTTGGTCATTTATAAAAGTTCTAACCAGTTCAATTTTTCTTCCTCATAATATTGCCCATTATTACAAGCCATTAGTAGGAGCCAAGGTGCACTTTATGTGAAATTCAGATAAATTCCTGACATCCCTGTTGTTCAGTGAATATTTTGAAAAGCAAATTTAACAATATTTCCTCAAGTTATATCTGATAGAGCACTGAGAACTGTGTTTCCAAAACATTTCAAAAATAAAGTCTAAAATTTAAAATCACATACATTATGGGGATTTTTTCAGGCCTTTGAAGGTGAGCAATGAATATGGACAAAATTTAAGTGTTCAGAGCTCTTATTTCAAGAAGGATCTACCTTAATTTTGACAAATATTGAACCAAAACAAAAAAGGGACCATGTTGTAAACACTGGTCAGTATTTTCAGTCAACATCCAAAATTTCTGATTTGTATCCAACTCAACAGACATGTGTACACTGTTGAAATATTTCTGCCCTCACTTTCGGGATCAATCGTTGATTTCTGTAGGAGCTGTTGGTCCATAGATGTTTTAGGTTAGTGGTCTTCCCTGATTGACATTACAGTATTACTGTAAAACAGCGCCCTCACTTGTTAGGAAAAGGGAAAGACAATACTTTAACATCAAATGAATCAGCCAAACTGACTCTTAAACAGTTAATATTGTTTGATTCACTAAACCCTAAAGGGGTGTCTGGAAAAATATTTTTAACAAAGAGTACTAATCACAAATGCTTTCAGAAGTCATGGGTCGGAAGTGTCTAAGGAATCCTTTTGCCATAGTTCATTTTCTGACATGAAAATGGAT